CACGAACACATGCGGATAAACACCTCCTACATACACATATACGAGTATACACACACACTAACTCTCTCTCACACACAAACACACACACACACACACACACACACACACACACACACACACACACACACACGACGGGCCACTCCATTCGCAAATAACCAAAATATCTTGAGAACGGAAACCATTTGGAGAAATAGAGTTCAAATTTATTTTCCCGAGCGTTCGGAGAAAATAGCAGGCCTTATTTATTATAGATTTCATGCGTGACAACAACACAACAAGTACAGCTCTGGTGCCCAAGTCAAAACTAGAGACCGCAGACAAGACCACAAGTCTTCGCGACAGAGATTTGAAATTAGTACTGTACTTTTAATACACAGCATTAGGGTGGGTTGGGGCAACTTCAACCTCGGGCCAAATTCAACCGATCACTCTACGCGTTCTTTGTTAACCGATTATTCATCTGCATTCGCCGTACACCGTGTAGTATGAAATGCATTTTCAAGTTGATTTCATTCAGAAGCTATTTTTAACCGCATTCGTCATCAGGGGCGAAGGCTGACTTGTTTGACAGGGTAATCAAAGTGAAACGGGACCAGATATGGCCTGGAGATATCACACAAGAATCTTACTCGAGGCGGCGACTCTGAGTTGTGAATGAAAACAAATTCGGAATTCACATTGTATTTTCAACCCCCAAAATAATCGGGAAAGTATCTTATTAAATATTAATTCCAACTACAATTAAATTTTAATTTAGATGTGAATACACAAACCCAAAGCAAAGAAGCAGATATGTCAGTACTAGATCTAGATCTATATATGTTATAGATCTACCCGTGAGTCTAACTCTTTGGTAGAACATGACAATTATCCTTTTTTTTAAATTTCACATTTGGCTGTTTTTTAGAGGTGGGCAAAATCCGGATAATCTACAAGGATAACTTAATAATTCTCAATGAAACATTGTCCGAATTCAGACTCTTAACTCTCTTTCCTGACCCGTTTGCCCAAGTGGGTGCACCCATTTGTTGAAGTGATGCTAACCCGTTCGTCGAAGTGGTTCTAACCCTTTTGCAGAAGCGGTTCATATCCATATTATTTTTGGCTGAAGAAGTGCACTAACATAGTTACTATGATAGTATCCGGATTTTGCTAAAGCGACTCATTGCCCAGCCCTACTGTTTTTGTCTAGCCTTTCGCGGCCAGGAGGCGGTGTCATAATCGAGGTCGCGATCTGATTATAGGACGGTAAAAAGTCGAGAAAAATAGCAAGCACTAGCAACAGTCAAGAGATTTGTTAGGAGTTAGTTCCCCTCACATTTGTGAGGTAGACTCGACCAGTGTAATAGTTAGCTTACATAAGCAGAGTCTGTGATTGATTGTAACTGTGGCCCCAAAGGGGTGAACAGGGTATTTGTGGCACTGAAACAGTTGTGACTGCTATGCACCTGTTCCCTTCAACTGTATTGGTAGACTCTTTCAGCCTCACTTTAAGCTTACTTAATCAAAGCTTGTGACTGCTTATGGAGTGGCCCG